GCTGACTACAGGAAGCCCGAGGCAGAGTTGCTCTGCCCCGGGCTTCCTGGAATCAGCTGCTGATCAGTTTCAGCAGTAGCTGACTTGGGGACGCCTGGAGTTCTTAAGTTGAATCTGTATGTAAGTCAGAACTGGCATCCAGATTCAGCCACTGTTGAAACTGATCAGTTTTAGCAGCGGCTGAATCTGGGAAGCTGGGGGCAGAGCAGCTCCAGTGGTCCGGCTGCCCGGAGCACTTCTGGGTTCCTGATGGTGCCGGACCATCAGATGCCGGATCATCAGAGTTTTACTGTAGCAAGATTTCTTGTTTGGCCATACTTGGGCAAAACACATTTAGAACATCTGACCAAAATTAGGAACACAGAAGCATTCAGTGGAGCTGTAAAATATTACAGGAATTTCTGTAGTTTTCTTTAATCAATCAAATACTGTTACAGCTTTACAGAAATACAGACTTTGGGTTTTTTGTACATTATAGAGGAGCCTGAGGCAGTGAAATGAGATATACTGAAGGGACCATTGACAATTGGAGGCTATCATTTATTCTTACAATGCTGCTGTGTTATTGTTGTATGTAATATTGGTTAATTTTTACCCAGGTGGAAAAAGATCACCTGAGATTGTCTATGAATAAATTAAAAACAACCTTCCATTTTAGTTAAACATATTGGTAGGTTTAGATTTGTAGATAGTTAAAGGAGGAAAATATAGTGCTGTTAGTGTCATTTTCTGTGTCAAATGGGAGAATATTGTTTTTCTGGTCAGAACCCCATAACTATTTACTTATACGATTTATCTTGGTCTGTTTTCTTATTAATTAGTAAAAGATAAAGATCACGCACACTACATGAAAATAAGCAAATACATTATAGACTACTAGGAAAGAAAATAGTAACCAATTTCTGATAAATATAACACAAACATAAATTACTCCCTGATTGTGGGTGGCAGGAGAAAATAAGCATCTATTTTTCTCTCTAAAATCATTGATCATTGTTGCACAACAGGGTGAGAGCAGGGATGTTTGTTGCATGTTTATTTTCACTTCCTTTTCTTTTACTGGTTCACATCACTGCTCCTTCCTGCTCTTCCTTCATGATAATAAACCATGCCTTTTCCTCCTCTTCCTTTTTCTTTCATTTCCCCACTTCTCCTCCCCCATTTCTTCATTTTCACAGCATAGTGTTTCTTTGGGACATCCCATCAAGCAGCCCAAGTGTCACATTGACTTTGCAGAAGAGGAGGCTGAGCTGACTCCTGTAAGTTATGACATGATTATCTGTTTCTCTCTCTCTCTTCAGTTTTTCATCTGTGGCTATGCCAGTCCCCCTTGTCATTAGAAACTGCATCCGTGATTATAGTCTCGTACATTAACTCCTCAGCAATGGAGAGACTCATAACCTGTAGCTTTTTGAAAACTTCCGTACCTATCCCCTCCCAATTCCCAAATACACTCATTTAAGCTATTTACACCAAGAGTGAGCAACCTGAGGCCCATCCGGGTTCTATGGGTGGGCTAAGAGACATTTTGTTTCCCATTGCCCACGTGCAGGGTTGCCAGATTCTGCTGGTTTCTGTCCATGTAGCTTTTTTCCTACCAGTATTACTAAAGTGACACTCATGTAAAGCAAGGGCACATGAAGTAAAGTGTGTGCTGATTTCTCACATTGTCTTTAAGAGCTGTGCGCTCTTGGTATCCAAAGCACTGCAATGGTTCACTTGGCAGCCCCACAAATTCTAGATCAGCAAGCACAATTAGCAAAACTCTGCTATCCTAGGAGACCATCTGGGTTACCCACTGAGATGGAGGGCCACTCATGTAGTCCACTCACTAGCTTAGGATGTTCATCACAGTGTGTTAAGCCTGATTGCTGCTACTCAAGCTTTGGCTATTTCAAGGGAAAGGTGTAATGTGAGATTTCTCCACTAGATGCGTTCTATAATTTATTATAATGACACCTCGCTCTCATACAGAGCTTTTCCATGCATAGATCTCAAAGAGCTTTTCAAAGGAGGTCAGTGGCATTATTCTGGTTTTACAAATGCTGAAGCATATGGAGGTGAAGTGGCATTCCCAAGGTCACGCAGTAGACTTATGGCAGAACCAGGCCTAAAGTTTGAGTATTTATAACAGTAGAATAAAAGTATGAAAGCTCAGTTTGGCCCTTTTGTCTACAGCATTGAATGTATTTAAACTTTTATTTGCATTTTAAAGTCTCTTTCAAATTAGACGTTTTTCTTCAAAAGTACTGTGTAATTTTGAATCTTAAAGGCAAAAATCTAAAGAATAGGAATACTATTACAATTTCAAATTATGATAGACAAATTTACACAGAATTGTCAAGAATGCCAAATCTGTGTGTTTCTTATCGGATGTCATTGTTTCTGGTTCCATCCTCTTTCTAAAGTCTGAAAACAGATGTGATTTTAAAATGGGAGTTGGAAAACATCTTTCAAGTTCTTACAACAATGCCGAAAAGCATAAATTGCACAACGGTGCCCTCAGATGGCTAAATTAAGCAAACCATTTAGTATTCATAATATATTTTAATAAGGATTGGTATACCAAGAGATTCTTGTGAAAATAAAATATTTAGATTGTTACATAATTTTCTGCTGCAGTCAGAAAAGTAAAGTTAAAAAGCTTGATCAATCATGTTTATCACCGGGGAAGAAGTCTGGTGAAAATCCACGTATTCAAAATCCAGTGTTTTTACATGGATTTCAGGATTTACATGGATTTTACTT